CAAAATAAGAAAATTCTAAAAATAAAATCGAAATATCGAAATTCTAAAATGTAAAGACTGATTTTGACCTTCTTAATCCTTTATAGTAACACACGTGAATTATTCGTGTCCTACACATTTTTTAAATATTAGAAACATCTAGCTAAATAATAATCTCTACTCTCTAAGATATTTGGATTGGAATTTAATTCTAAAGAATGAAATGACGCGACAATTCAGCCAATGTTTGAAAAGAGTGACTCAATTGTCAATTTTTAAAAGTGAGATTTCATTCTTTAAAGTTACATTTCACTCTAAACATTTGAAAGAGTATCTTTTCCTTTTTTAAATATACAACTTATAATAAACATTTTCTAAAGACGTTAAAATATATATGTAAAAATCATTAAATAATTTTTTTAGGCTTATAAAAATGACGAAAATTAATTTGGGATAATTAATCGTATGTAATAAAGAATCAGAAAATTATCGTACTAATTATAGAGTTAAATAATACAATGCATTTCTAATCATTTATTATTCTAATCATTTTTTTACGCAGAATTAAGTAAAAATAGATATTTCTTATCACTACCGTCTTTCGTTTCTAGAATACCAGTTTCTAAAGTACTGATCAGATTGATGAATGCATTGATTGCAGATCGCAAAGTAGTGTCCTTTATTCGTTAATCGCAAGAAGCACAACGCCAGTGGAAAAGGATATGTAAGAAAAAGAGGGACGAGGGGAAGAAAAAGAAATATAATAAAAGAAGTCATAGCAGGAGCCTGCTTTAGCCAGGACAGATCCCGCCAGGATGATAACACGAGGACACATCGCCACCTCGGCGCGACGATCGTAAAACTTGATCAGGTAAAGGCGCGGTCCGTTTGAGACCTGCTGCTAGGAGGACGGACAGGAGCTGGTTATAGGCTAGGTATTATAGTTCTGGACTGCTGTCGGTCTATCTCGCGAGGGATGCACGTCCCGTATGCGTATCCTTCGGGGTGGTCCTGGCGACGACATCGGTTCATTAATCGGCCAGATACTCGAGAAAAATGTGCTTTTACGACTACTCTCCCTTCCTCGCTCTATCTCGCCTTCTCTCTCTCTCTCTCTCTCTCTCTCTCTCTCTCTCTCCCCTCTCTCTCTCTCTCGCTCTATTTTTCTCTTTCTCGATTTCTTTCTCTAGGTAGTTTCCCGAGGTAGGCTAACTGATAGCTTATTATCGTTACCGAGGAGATCTCAAGAAAGTGATCTAGATAGAATTCGATTAACGCAACATTTGACGATGTTGTTTCGGTTTCGCTCCGGAAGTCTACGAATGCGACTATGAATTACACAAGTTCGAAGTACCCTGTATCTAAATGCCCCAGATTCTGGACGTTTTGAATTCTAATCGCTCGTAATCTATAGATTCCTTGAATTCTGGATATCTTGAATCCTTGTCTCCTCGAGTTCCTCGCGCAGACATCAAATTCCTTCACGATTCTGAAATCTTCAAGAGAGAGACTAAACCCGTAATTTTTTATAATAAATTTCGCACAAATTTCGCAAAAATGTCAGATAAGAACGTTACCTAAGCTTCTTCAAATAATATGCTATATTGAGTTCTCGCTAACTCTATTTTCATTAACCGACTGCGACCGAGTGCAATCTATGTGACATAACTTGCGGTGATGGTGCAAGACTGCAAGACGTATGACGGTACAGTCATCACATATGTGTGCGTTAGCTGTGCGTAGAAGAAACATCGGTCAGATAACAAGAGTGCTAATGAAGGATAGCCAGGTTCTTATGAGCTTCTTCTGAGACCAGCACCTGTCCCTCCTTTGGCACACGTGTTTTTCCGATGAATCGTACTTCCCATCGTTTAATTTTTTATAAACTTTCGTATTGTACAAAATGAGACTAGTCAGCGAATTCTATCTGATTACCTCTAAAAATTTTTGTTTTGTTGCAAAGAATAAAATTTATTTAAAAAAAGGAATCAAGAATAGTGATGATTGAATTTTTTTCATCCTAATTAATGATAAATCTAAAGCTGTACTGAATATCAAATAATAAATATCGTTACATATCACGATATTTAAGAATCCGGAAATTGTACTCCGGTTTTTAATATCCGCGGTTTGAAAGAATTGCAATTTCTGCGATGTCTCGCGTATTATTCGTCACAAGTGGGGTTTATACCATGAGCTCGAACGGGCGTTCTCTTATTCGGCTAAGTGAGCGGAGGACGATAAAGCACGGCGGTTTCGGTGCGTCTCGTGAGAAAACGACGCGCATTTTTAACCCGCGTCACGTCGGTACGCGCTTTCGTACGCTCACGCATACACGCGTACAGAACGTAGCGGCCGACACACTGCGAAAAACACTAGCGTGGCTATTAATTCAGAGACCGGGGGACAGAGAGCGAAGGCTGCGGCAAAGGAGCAAAATGAGCGACGCTTCTCTCGGTTCCTTGGGACCCTAAATAAAAGAAAGGAGAAAGATTTAAATAAAAGTAAAATCGTGTCGCCGCGGTCGCGTGAACTACCCGGGCTCGACGAGGATATGAGCTGGGGAATCCGCGGGAACCCTTCACTTCCCTCGGGGGAACCCCCTCGCGGAGAACCTGTCCTGTCCGACTGTCGGGATCGGCTTTCCTTCCTTTGCTCCTCTTTGCTCGTATCGCGCGCGCTTCACGCTTTTGCCAAGTGTTATCTCGCGATCGCTACCATGGAACGGAAGAGAAAAGGAGAAAAGAAAAGAGAACGTCGGGCCGTTCACATTTCTACAATGTCTCCGGAAGATTGATAGATAAATGGACCACTGATATATACTTTACTGTTATACATCTTGAAAAGAGAAAGAGACAGATCGCCGGATTTGTTTAATTACATAAATTCTGGTTAAATTTAAAATTAAATTTCAAATGAACTTGTAGTTAAAATGTGTATGCATTTTTACATGAATATATAAAATGCAAGAATGAAAAGAATTCTGTCATTAGGGTTTTTAATTAAAAAAAATTCTGAACTTTTAATGTTCAAAACTGTATTAATTCAAAAATGTCCCAGAATAAAATTTATATATATTTATTCTATAATATAAAAATTTTTGATTTTGCAAAATCCTGGGAAACTTTTACTTTCTAGAAGATATACTTCTTTTTTTTCTTTCCTCTTCTCGTATTTCAGTCGATAAATTTTAAAGACTCTCATTTACATATTGAGATTAAATGAGATACCAGAACGTAACTACCCAATTATCTTTAAATTTTAATCATTTCTTATAGTTTTTAAAATAATCAGTATATGAATGATGCAATAAAGTCGAAAAAATTGTAAATCTGTAAGTCGCGAGTAACGGTTTTTAATTTCCAAACTTTTTCTTTAACGATTATAATTCATACTTTGTGAATATTTTATCCTACAGTAATTATTCCCCAGAGCTATGTTCTTCTTTTCAATAGTTTCGAAAAATATATTGGTTCTAAAATAATATCTAAAAGATATTATCGCGAAATATTTTCAGAATTTTCTCACAGTATTCTCGTTCTCAGAATATCTTCGTTTTCCAAGAATATACTTTCAAGAATATTCCCGGTGTGCATCACTAGTTACAAGCAGTTACAAGCATTAATATTACCTAAGAGAGATTGGTGCTGGAAAAAAGGAACATTACTTTCCCACCGGCCCGGGAAAGATAGCAAAACAGCGCTCGACACCCCACAGTGCACGGATGGGTGCACGGATGGGTACTCGTCGAGGGCAGGAGCACGCCTGACCTCCCAGCAGACAAATTAAAATGATGCACAGGCGATTCCACGCGTTACTCGCGAAAACTCCTTCCTTCTTGCCGTCTCGAAACTATTTCAGGATACGCAAAACTGAGCGAAATATTGTTTCGTCAGCGATGCTTCTTGAATTCTAGGAAGGGCCACTAGACGATATAAAAAATTGAGAAATTAAAAATAAAATGATTCGAGAGGGTTATTTGTTATTTGACAATTTCAATCCGAGACTCAAGCATTAGCAAGCTTAAAGACGAAGTTAATTCAAGGACTAAAGACCAAAGAGATTCAAGAATTCAATAGCTAATCTTCGCACTAAATTTCGAAAGACTTTAATTTAAGAAGAAAAATTTTTAGTAAGGTTTGTATACAATTTATCTAATAATATAAGCTAAATAAAGAATAAATATATTCTGCTCAATAAAGTCATCTTTTTGACTTAATTTATATGGCAATAAAGAGTGTCCAAGCGCCATAAAAGCGAAGACAGTCTATGTAAAATACAAATGAAACTTGTTATAAATGACTATAGTTTTTTTTTTTTTACTAAACGCGCCTAATTTGGTGACTACGTGGGTCTGTTTTTAATTGCTTTGGGTAATTTAAGGGAACAGACGACCACAGAATGGGGGTTATAAAAATGCGTGGATGGACCACCCTTGAAATGTTGAGTGTTCTAAAGCATTTTATTAGCGCCTTCGCACAATTTGTATTTCATCTTAATGATAAATTTTGTATTGCAAGATTAGGATAATTAGTCAATCAACGAGCGTAGCCGAATATACAATCAACTCATTATTTATTTATCTTGTGATATCTTCGTACACTGAAATTTTATCACTTTAAGGAATAATTTATATTTACATATTATCTCTTACATTTAATACTAACCAATTTATTACTAAAAGATATAAGTATTAATTCCTTATCTAGAGTATTAAAAGCACTGAATAACAGTACTTTTAATATTTAAAATAAGGAATTAATTCAGCAAGAAAACCAATTAAATTGGCCAGTATTAAATTTTTGTAAGGGACAGCTACGTTATAGACTAGTCGTGAATTAATTTTATAAATTTTTAGAATTATTTTTTTTTATTCTTATTTTACTATTGATTACAAATCCTTTATTAAAGAGTTCTATCGAGTTAAATTTTTTGCTTTGCAATCATAAGAATTAACAAACTTTCAAATAAGATGATTGACACTAGCATTATTTCAAAATCAAAATAGAAGTTCGACTTACCCTGTCATACTGATGTGTCGCCGTGGCCGCCGGAAAGGGTTGGAAAGGCGCCGGCCTGGCTGGACTGTGGTGGGCCGCATGCGGATTGGCGTGAGGGTGACTATGCGGGGCCGCATGAGGATGGGTCGGATGCGGCGGCGGTGGCCGATGGGTCTGGTACAGGTAAGGATAATATTGATACATCACATCGGAGCAGCTCATCACCCCGCCCGGGCCCGGCACCCCAGAGCTGGCCTGCAGACCTGCGTACCCGAACGTCGCACTACCCTTTCGAACAACACCACTCCTAAAATTGTCCTCCAACTCCGTCGATGGCTCACGATGGCCACGATCGGATCAAACGTTCGAGATCATCCAAGGTCATTAAAGTGATTAAATCATCACTGATGATAATGGTCCGTGCTGTAGCATACACCGACAGCGAGATATAATTCAATGTAATAATGTCAACAATAATATCGAACTGCTTTCTTTGAATACCCTAGTTTCGCTTCTTCGGTAGCTTAATATGATCAATATAAATATTTTAATTATTATATTTAAATTATTATATGTATATTAAATTAACGGTATATAGCATTAATATAGCACTGTTTATAAAGAAAATTAAATAACTCCTATTATTGTTAACAGTTTTATTATTTTTTATTTTTGCACCATTTAAAATTCAAAATTTATCAAAAAATATGATATTAACTCACGAAGACGCGTGTTTCAATATTTATAATCATTTCAAATTCCTCATTTATTCAAGTGCAATTTTAATGTTATCTGAATATATAATCATTAAACAAGGAAGAAAATATTTGTTTACGTTATCTGAATATATAATCATTAAACAAGGAAGGAAATATTTGTAAAAAGTGAAAGCGATAATTATGAAAGAGATAAGATATTTGTAAGTCAATCACAATAAGATATACTTATCAATTTTGTTTAAATATAGTAATGACCATTTCTACTAAAATGCGATGACATGTATCATAGCTAATACATAAACAGTTTAGTAAAAAATAAATAATTTTAGTTGTTCTTTCTCAGAAATCACTGAACCATGGCAAATCACAAATTACACGTTAATAATTCTTCGAAATAGTTAAGCCGATGGAAAAAGTTATATAAATCGATCGCTCTTCTTTTTTCTTCTATAAGCACGTCAGCTGAATGCAAAAAGATTTAAGTAGTAGATATTAGCTGAGAATATGTCAAATTATAGGACATCTTTAATTAAAATTTTGACAAAACTGAGCAAGACATATAAAGATATCTGAAAAATTCTTGTATGACACTTCCTCTTCTATTACTTCTATTACCTCACTTTTCAAAATTTTCTTTTGTCAGATTTCTTCCAGTAATTAGCTTTCGCAACATTTTCTTTTTTCTCTCAAATAGTTCTCTTCAAAACTTTTCTATGTGAATCAATTGTCACTGATTTCAATTCTGTGTCGACTATTTGCGATGACGTACATAATTTGACTTCATAGCTCCTAGTTCAACAAATTTCAATTGTTCACAAATTACAGTTTGTTGAAAACGAAACTATTATCTTGATCAAACTATTTAACTGCTTCCTTCTATTAAAACTTCATCGACACTTCACTTAACTAGTAGCTACTGTCACTGTCCTCGTCATCTCATATGTCATACAAGGATAATTGCGATTTAAAACGACACTCACTACTTTGCTTCACAATTGTTTCCAATTATCTATTTTTCCAAAAATCTCGATAACACCGTCTTTAATAATAAGATCACGCTCGTTCGATTGCGACACGTTCTTCGGACACGATCTAACGCAAAAGTCAGATGGTTCTCTTGAAGAACAAGAGAATGATCAGTGGAGAACGAAAAGCAAACCCTCACCCTCGCAACGTGAACGGAGCGTATCGCCGATGGTGGTGTGTCTCTGATGGGTGAACACAAACTGAAACCCCCCGTACGCGACACCGTGTGTCACCCTCTCTCCATAGAGCCTGTTGCTGTCTTTTTCTAGAGCCGTCCCGTCGTTTTCGAGCGGAGCGGCTGACGTATTCTCTTTCCCCTTTACCATCACCCTAACACGTTGGGGACCGCGACGGCAGGATCCGCCTCCTGGCAGTGCCGACATCGGCCAATCACCGTGCTCGATCGTCAGGGCCAATCGCACTTGGCCTGCCACTACCACGAGCTCTCCCCGTATTGATCCCACAATGAACCCAACTGCAGCTGTGGTATTAAGAAGTTCGTACTCGGGTTAAATCACCCCCGCCTAAACCTCCTTCGCTCCCTGTTCCTTCGCTTCCCTTTCCTCTCTCCGGCTTCTTCGTGGTCTTCATCCTCCGCTACGGCCACCTTCCTTCTATCCCGGACAACCATCCCCCGCAGCGTGCATAATGAGTCTTAATTAACAGTTTCGCGGTGTTTTGGGAAGCTTAATTTGCCGTAGTGAAGAGAGAGAGAGAGAGAGAGAGAGAGAGAGAGAGAGAGAAAAGGAAAAGGAAGAGGAAGAAGAAAAGGTGTTTTCAAGACAGAATTCCTATAGAAATATTGCTGTCGTAGAAATCGCATTTTTACGCGGCATTAACTAATCGCTTTGTAGTCTAATTTTAACCATATTTGAAATAATTCTCAGACGAATGACACTTCAAACTTTAAACTTGCAAGATAATTAAAAAAAAGCAAGAGATATGTTTCGATCTCCATGGGATCTCCAATATCCCCTATTATAGCTAAAATAATTTTACAAGATCTAGAATCATTAATTATTGATAGATTACCTACACAACTTTCTTTTTACTTTAGATATGTAGTTGATATTATATTAGCAGCTTCTTCTAACATTTTGAATGATATTCTTGACACTTTTAATTCGTTATATATAAAACTAAAGTTTACTACAGAATGTGAGAATAATGGGAGATTGAATTTTTTTAACACTACTGTTACTGTCGACGAAAATAAAATCATTTTTGATAGGTATCAAAAACCAAATCTTTTCAAGTAGATTTTTGAATTTCCATTTCCATTATCCTTTGTGTCATAAGAGAGGAGTTATTTATGATGCAGTTGATAGAATTGTATTATTATCTCACCCTAAGTCAACAAAGGAATTTTATTGATGCTATTCATATTTTTTTAGATAATGGCTATCCTCTTAACTTCATTTTTTTATCATACAAAAAAGAATTAATTATCATATTCACAATAAAAATAAAACAGATAATAATTTTCATTCATACAAGACAAATTCAAAGATAAATATTTTATTGTACCGTATGTTAAGTCTGGCTCTGAAAAATGTATGCCTACAGCTCTCAAACTTGATTGTGCAAATTATCCTATTCCATTCCTAACACCTCAAAAAATTACATAAAAAAGAGTAAATATCACCTCGACTTATACTCCCATTAAGAAGTTGTGTATAAAATCTCTTGTGAGAATTGTGAGTTAAGTTATGTTGGTTAGACCAAAAAAAATTAAAGATTAAATGAACATATGTGTGTCAGACATAAATAAAAAAACAGGATTTCCTTTTATTTCTGACCACCGGATTAATTTTAATCATGATTTTGATTGGAATAAATGTCAAAATTTTAAATAATGAACCATCGTATAACAAACGATTAATTTCAGAAATGATTCATATTAAAAGACAGAAATACGGTTTAAATAGGCAAAAAATGACATGGAATCTTATTTTCATATTTTATACAATCTCTTTTCATTTCTTAATTTCTTTCTCCTTTTTTCCCACTCTTAATTTTATCCTTTCCCTTACCGATAATATTTCTCTCTTTTAGTTTAACTCTCAGATGACTCTCATTTTAATAATATTTTAGACAGTAACGATCATCTCTATCGCAATTGCTTACACGCCAATCTCTATTTTACATATTGATCTTACTTTATACATTTTGTTATATACCATGACACAACTCATTTTCGCTTATAAAGGTAAATTTTATATTTATTATGTATACTTTCTCTTTTTTACACTTTATATTTTAAGTTTCATAAGCCTAATTTATTTCTTCATTTTACTTAATACGTTTCTGTATATTAACAGAATTTTCTATTATTTTATTCGATTGACTACATATAAAATTATTGACTGCTACGAACTTTTTATTGGCGTTACCATACCATATCATCAAATTTTATACTGCAATTGGCATTACTATACCATGTCATCAAATTTTGTACTGCAATTCTTCAGAAATTATGACTGACAATGAAATGTTACGTGCGAGGCTTTCACATCGAATCATTCTTATGGATTATATCTTATTTGAAGTCTAATTATGTATTTTTTTATATATTTATTCTTAATCTTTTTCCGTTACCGTTATATTTTAATTTTAATTAGTAAATGTTTTTAACACTGATAATGTAATAAGGAAGATTGAAACGTTTGTTTATATTTTCTATTGTTTTTGTATCATTTGTTAGTTTATTACATTAAATTTGAATTGATTTGGCTCGTAGTCCTTCGTATTACATTTATTTTATTTAATATACTTGGAGCTATAAGGCATTATTTCAGATATATTTTGTTCTTAAAACATTGTTGAAAATAATATTAAAACACACACAGAGAGAGAGAGAGAGAGAGAGAGGGATGAGCACGAAAATAATATGTAAAATCAATTCGAGTGGATATTTACATATATATTATATTTACATATATATTACATTATTAAGATGTTGCGTATTGTTTTATTACTTTTTATTGCTATTTAATAATCGTGTTACATATATATATATATATATATATATATATATTAGAAGAAATAATATAATTAAATATATTAAGAGTATATATATTCAGTTATTTCGTTCTAACCGCATTTGCAATCATTTTTCGTAAATGTTTTATATTCATATGTAAATTTTCTAAGAAGATGCCAAATTTATAAAAATATTTTTGATATAATATCTAATAAAATAAAATTAAATGTTACGAAAATGCTAAACAGTGATTAAATTTTATCTTTTTTTCTAATTTTTTAGCTATTTTATTTTTAGTCTCTTGGAATGATTGGTTAGAAGTGTGCAAATAATTCGAATTTGAATCGAATCAAATCGAATCGAATCTAATTATAATAGATTCGATTCCGAATCTGTGAGATAAGTTCCAAATTTTTAATCATTGGTAATTCAATTTCGAATCAATCGCTTATTTCATTTGTTTCATTTATGCATGATTTTCGTAAATTAAAAATTATTTATTTTCTCATGTCTTTAAAAATCTGGAATATGTTATTAATAATACTGTACTTTATTATTTTTAATTTAGCTTTTAATATAAATTCGGAAAAATTTGATTCAAATTCGATTCATTTTCGAATCTAAAAGATTCGATTTGATGTAAAAATTTCAATTTTAATTTGTTTTCGAATATATTATCAAAGATTCGATTCGATTCGACCTCACAAAATTAACGTTTTCTACAAAGATGAATAAGGACCTTTTTATGGGCTTTTTTATATTTTACTGAAGATCCGGGAAATTATGAAAGT